AAAAGTACATATTATTACACCATTACGTGTACATATTAGTATCTTTTGAAATGGTACTGCCCCAGTGAGAATTTTGTACCTTTTTTCTCAGACAAAAAGGTACAAAAGCTGCTATTGGAATGGTACCCTTTCAAATGATACATCTTTGTACCTTATTTACACCTAAAGGGTGCTTTTTAATTCCTTAAAGGTACATATTTTTTACCTAAAGTGTACATATTAGTACCTAAATGGTGCATATTAATACTTTTGGAAAGGGTTCTAATACTAAAATACAAAAGACAGATTTTGTAATTTTTTTTTAACTTTTTTCTCTAATATCATGTTACAAAGAAGAATGACATTCGCTGTAAAATGCACTGATAGATAGATAGATAGATAGATAGATAGATAGATCTTTTAAGAAGATTCAGGGTTCTAATACTAAAATACAAAAGACAGATTTGAATGACATTCGCTGTAAAATGCACTGATGATAGATAGATAGATAGATAGATAGATAGATAGATAGATCTTTTAAGAAGATTTGTAACTGTGTTTACTCTCTGCTGTATTAACAAGGATGACTTCGAAGCTTGTTGTAGACTCATGTGATTAAGCTTTATGTACTGTAATTTAGCATTCCTATTCCATCTTTCTTCTGACCGCTATGGGTAAACAGCAGAATTTCTGTTTCAGAATGACTGATTTCAAACAGGACTTCAGTTTTGGGACAAGCTGCAGGAGAGATTGAGCCGTCTGACTCCATTCACCCAGAACAAATGGTGACAGTGACCCACGCTGAGAGCCAATATGATGGTGTGAGAGTCTGTGGCATCATGTGGGGTTTGAGGAGAAGGATTTGTCGCTAATACAGAGACAATTTCACTGTGACAGACACGGTTACCGACAAAGCAAACAGAGTGGAACTATTTTAAGTATCCTTTTTGGTCATTATATATTAAAATAAATAAATACATAAATAAAACCTATCCTCGTATATAATATTGAAGAAATAAAGGGTCACTTAAAGAGAGACGCTTTCATGACTACGTTTCTTCACACACTTAAGTACACTTTTAAAAAGGGCACTTTGTAATGTAAAATTAAAAGTTTTACTTCAAATTATTAATTTAAATGGGCAGTTAATAATTACATATGTTTAATTACAAATATATTTAAATACACGGCATACAGAAGTGACATTAACATATATTTGCACTTAATATTCTAAGTACTCTTTTTAAAAGTATGCTAAAGTGTTATTTTTCACTTGGAAGGAATGGAAAGACTTTCACCTTCTTCTGCTTCCTCAGAGGCCACTGATCATCCTGCTCCTAGGCTGAAATTATGTGTGGGAATGTGTACATTTCTGATGGAAATGGTTGGCCATCTTGCAGTAACAACACCTTAGAATTTTCCATTGTGTGGTCCAACTCTCGCTATCCCAACACGCTTACAGTTTAAGAGAAAACTTTCCAGTTTAATCTGAAACATCCTGATTATATGACAACCAGCACAGCTTGGATGTTGGATTCACATAAAATCTTAATAGCATTGCTTGAAAGGCCAAGAATTGTATACAGTTAGCATCAGGGATTAAAGGGTTAGTTCACCCAAAAATGAAAATTAGCCCATAAATTACTCACCTTCAAGTCATCCTAGGTGTATATGACTTTCTTCTTTCAGACGAATCCAGTCGGAGTTATATTAAAAATTGTATTTGATCTTTCAAGCTGTTTCATGGCACTCAGCGGGTGTTGCATGCATCCGTCCAAAAGAAGTTAAATAAAAAGCACCCATCCATAAAACAAGTGTCTCACACGGCTCCGGGGGGGTGAACAAAGGCCTCCTGTAGCGAATCGATGCATTTTTGTAAGAAAAGTATCCATATTCAAAACGTAATAATCACTTTAATGTAGCTTGCGCTCACTGTTGTAAACGGAAGCAGCTCCGGGTGGATGACGTATGAGGTCGGCATAGGGTTTCTATGTGCTCATCCAGGAGCTGGATCTTGAGAAAACAACATCTCACTCCTGTCCTTGTTGAAAAGACTATGTTTCTGAAAAACTGCAAAAACGTACCACTACATACAATACACTGCAATTTCCAGCTGAAATGAACACTAGTGGCAGTAAAACGTTAATAACTGTTATTCCTTTTCACACAAATTATGATACAGGAGCAGGTTATTGATTAATAAAGACTTATTTTCATGTGGTTCCTTCCTCAATATCATGTTATATGACCTTAAAACAACCATAGTGCATGATTTGTAAACTCACATGATTTGTAAAAACTAATTTTGACGTTTGCATATAACCAGCTCCATATGTTTGGTTTTTCTGGTGTAGTAAACTTGCTCGGTAGCCCACCCGGTACAGCATTAAACTTGAGATACAGAGCGCTCTGGTATAAGTCCTGTGAAACAAAAATCATGATAAAAGACCTCAAAGCAAGATTAAATGGGATGATTGATTTAGCAGTGTGTATTTATCTCACGTTTGCTTTTGTTAACATTGTCAGTTAGGTTTATGAAGCTTTTAGCGTCACTCACAGGATATTTCCGAACTGCTGCAATACGAACAACAACCAGTGTAAAAAAATATTTAACTGTTTTAGAGAACACTGAACACTATTTAGTTAAAGACATTTTGCTTTAAAACTGCTGTGAAATTTGCTACAAGCAACACAATATCATTTTGCAAACATTTTGTACTCTCATGACGCATGCTGTTTAATAAACCTGCATCTGCAATGGAAGAAAATTATAAAGCTTATAGCGCCTCTTGTGGACGTGTCATCTGTAAAATGCAGCGAAATGGGCCTAGAGCAATGTATTTCAGGTTCTGCAGTAATATACCCAGAGTCACATATTTCCAGTGAGCCTCTGTTTCAGGGACGCACAGCTTGTTTCATTTACAGTCTGTGTGTGTTGCTTTCAGAGGCACAGCAGAGGTGAGTTTAACTGAAGAGGTGTTTTTATAGGCCCTAAAGGGACTGTGATACATTTAACTTTCAGTTCCATCCGCGGCATTGTCACTTAATTTGATTTGATCAAAATGTCACAACTGGTACAGAGAGGAGACACTAATCCTGTAAAACTATTTGAGTGCAAGGGACTCGCTCTTCTCCAGGTGTTTCAGTGCCACAGTTCTCGGTGTGTTTGAGGGCAAATTTGTACCCAGAACTGATATAAATCTGGCAAAACCTCCATTTTGGGATGTCCTCATTTGTAAAAACAGTATATTAACATCAATTAACATCTTGTGAAGTGAAAAGCTGTGTGTTTGTAAGAAACAAATACATCATTAAACGACATTTTAACTTTAAACTGTCACTTCTGGCCAAAATACGAGTCCATAATTAATAGAAAAACACTTCCCCCAGTGAAAAAGTACATCTCCTGTTGTCTTGATTGATTTTCAAGGTATTTTCTGGGAGAGGCAGTGTACCTAATTAGTTGATATTCCCTCTACATCCTAATTAGTCATCCTGACACTGAAATTAAAAACAGGAGAGTTATGTCCAATAAAAAGTATTTGATGAATGGTCCTGCTGATCGTCTTGGACTTTAGGTGCAGGTCACATCTGCTAACGTATATATGTGCAGGAATATAAGCAGGGTCAACAGTCTGACTCCATCAAAACATACTATGATAATCTGGGATTCAAAATATAATTTAAACTTGTGGCCAGTGGCATAAACTGCTTGGACCGTGCAATTTCTTCTTTAAAGGGGTCATATGATGCTGCTAAAAAGAACATTATGATAAGTCAGTTACATAAAAATGTAGATTGGCATAAATTTGAAAAAGTAAAACTGATACTCCTTGTACTTTGCTAACTGCTAGTTTTGCTCTTTGCTCTCTTTTTGCCTTATAAACTACCCATTTATACTCTGGTAAACTTTATACTACTTCACCTTGGTCTATTTTAGTACATTTCGGTCTTTATACTTTATATTGTTTGAAAAATGCAAAAACATTATATTTTATGTTTCACATATTGTTTTATTTCTTTTTCATCAATGAACTAAATGCATTTTGAAAAGATGTGCATATAGGGAGTCCAATTTCAGAAAATAGACTATATGTATTCATATAGATAAAAACATTTAAACATATAAAAACAAATAAAACATTCTATAAAAAATTGAATATTGAGTATAAATAAAAGCATACAGAGCTATATAGTGGCTAAAGTACTGTTTATTACTGTATTTATAGAAATCATATAGTTATAAACATCTTATTTTCACTCTGTTTACATTATCACACCATTACCACCTGTAATAAATAATGTTTTTATAATGGTTAATTTTTTTTTTTTTAATAAATGGTTTCAAGAAGAACCTTTAACACCCTTGCAACCTTTCGCTTGCAGGATCTTTATGGCTAAAAATGATTATTTGGGTTATTAAAATATTATTCATACCACAAAAGAATTGTTCCTTTAAGAACTGTTCACTGAAAGCTTCTGTGAGGAACCAAAAATGGTTCTTCTATTGAACTGGTGTGAAAAACCTTTTAGAACCTTTATTTTGAAGAGTGTTCCCTTCAATGCCACCATCAAAACAAAAATATGTAATAAATAAACTATTAATTGGGATTTAGCCAAAATGAGACTGCCGCACCGATCACACTGGGACAATTATGTCACCAAGCATGAACTAGGGAAACAATGAATTCACAGAGTTCATTATATGACATATAAACACTCTAAGTGAACTCGTCACTGATGGAGGAGAAGCTGGAGAGGAGAGCGGGACAGGTATGTCTGCAATCTTTGCCCAGTGGAATGTGAAAGCAGTGTAGGGTTGTTCTTTCCTTGTTAAATGTTCTTCAGGGCAAGCTGCTGGAATGACAACTTTCCCATGTGACAACTAGCCCCGGTGGTTATATATCTACTGACTGTTTGATTATCTGTGTGTGGTAATAAAATATTCCTGAACCAAGCAGGCTCTCTTATCTATTCCAGTGCAGTTTCCTTCAGATGTTTGTGAGGGTCACAGAGGTTCAGTCAGTGGTCGCGGCAGCCACGGAGTGGCGCAGGAGTGTGTGTGTGTGTGTGTGTGTGTGTGCGCGCGGGGCGGCTCCACTTTCAAACACAGCGCCCATCTTTAACACATAACCAAAAAATAACCGGACGGACCCCGTCCCGTAGCGAGATACCGACGTTCATGTAAGTTATTCTCAACAAAACTCGTTATTCTCGGTGAATGTGTGTGAATGGCGCGGCGCGGCGGGCTTTGATGTGATCAGGTTACATTGTAACAAACGCGCTTTTGTTGGAATGATAGAATGTCGCGCGCGCATCATCGATTCTTTGATGACCGCCGCCGTGCGTCGTTGTTTTAATGCCGTTTCCCGCACTGTATTTGCTCTGTTTTGTCAACTTTTTGTCAACAGCCTGTGGCTTCATCCGTGCTTAGTACGAAAAGCGGCTTTTATTCCCGACAGGCCTGTGGACACAGAGAGCAGCGAGTAACGGGACACGCGTTATCTGACACACTGTCCCAAAACACACACTTTTATCTGCCAGGTCTTGATTTTGTTGCTACATGAAGGTCACGTTACAGCTGTCATCTCTTCTAGGTTTTATAGCTTTTGTGTGTGTTCATTTTTTTACCTTTGTCCTAGATCCAGAGTTGCATTTTTAAAAGGTTGATTACGTGATTAATTGATTAATGATTACGTTTTTAAAACGGCGAGGATCTAATCAAAGAGTGAAATAAAGCGCTTCAGATATTCAACTATTGTAGATCATTTTTTTGTCCCTCGGTTGTGACATCATTTCCACCAGCAGCAACAGTTTTGTCCCTAAAGTGAGCGCACTTGGTTACCAAGGAGACGAGCATGCGATGACGAAAATCACTTGTGAGCATTTCTATTTATTATTAGGTGTCATTACCAATCAAACGGCCAAATTATGAAAATATTATTTAATTATGTGTGCTTAGTCATAAAATGCTAGTTAAAGGGGTCATATGATGCGATTTAAATTTTTCCTTTCTCTTAGCAGCATCATATAAATTACTCTCAGTAAGATGAAGCAGCCAGCCATTTTATTCCAAATTGTTTCCAGTATGCAATTTACCACAAAATAAATAATTTTTAGATGCACAGTGTAAGAAATTATTTTTCAAAGTGGTAAATAAAACAGATTATTGGAATACATTGGAATGCATTTTTCTTTCTACTTCAAAATTTCATATTTAATTCACTTGTTACTTGCCATTTCTTTGTAATTATTTGTGAAAAGCTTGCAAATCCTACATCAATTATTTTTCAGTCTAGTAAAAATGACATTTGTTGGTTGCGAAAATATGACAAAAATGACACGATTCTGCTGTGCTGCATGTGCTCATATTGGACAAACTGAACTAGTGAGATTGTAAAAACTGTTTTAAGAGACTTCAGGGCCAAAAAAACACCAAAAATGACACATCAGACCCGTTTCCGTGCTTCAGTCTTTATTTGTGAGCCCAGTTCTTCTTCTGTCATAACTTCAGGCAGTGAGTTTTATTTACGTTATATCTTCATTCAATCTATATCTGAAATTAGTGACTCAAATAATGGGCATTTGAAACAATCTGGCAACCATTTTCAATGTTTCCAACAGCTGCTGTGGTCTTAAATATACAGATAACATGCCAGCTACATCTGTGTGACATCAAATAGTGATATTTCATTCATTACTCTATCACACTGTAATTGCAGAGTAATCAACACTACTTGTAACTAACTTATCTCTGAAATAGGTTGTGCTTTGTTGCATATGCATCTGTTTGAAAGGGCTTTTTGTTTGGTCGTGGCTGCATGTTGCTTTACTCTTGTAAAACAGGATTGTTTGTAGGAGGGAAAAGACTTGATCTTCTCCTGTAGCGTCTCGCAGTAGATGTCACCGTCAGCGTTAATTAAAACTGTGGGAAGCATGATGGGAGGGAGGAAGAAGTTAATCCTCACGTAAGAGCATTAGTCCATATGACGACAGCAGCGAGGCTAACGTATAGAGCGCATTTAGCCGAGCGGATAGTATGTTGGTTAGCGGCACTGACTGTTATTGCTATTCAAATGCAGTGGTTTTGCTTCAGGACAGAGATTTGGTGATCCAGCACATTTCCTAAATGTTTATGATGCTAAAGTTGACAAATTGTTATCTACAACCAAATGTTGAATGTTGAATGATATGCATAGGCCAACATGACTGAATAGGGAAATTCACCATTTTTGTTTCTAAATGTGAGCTGAATTTCGATGGTTTGATGCTCTTGGTAGCCCATTATGCAAAGGATGTAACAAAAAGCAGTAAACCATGTTTATCCATATTGCAAATCAACCTGTATTAAACATAGTCTGAGTTATTTTTTCATTTATTTACATTCCTGTTCAAAAGTGTTGGTTGGTGAACGTGTTTTTAAAAAATCTTCTGCTCACCAAGGCTGCTTTTATTTGATCAAAAATACAGTAAAAACAGTGAAATATTTTTACAATTTAAAATAGCTGTTTTCTATGTGAATATCTGTTAAACTGTAATTTATTCCTGTGATGCGCAGCTGAATTTTCAGCATCATTACTCCAGTCTTCAGTGTCACATGATCTTCAGAAATCATTCTGATATGCTGATTTCTCAAGAAACATTTCTGATTATTATCAATGTTGAAAACAGTTGTGCTGCACAACATTTTTTGTAGAAACTGATACATATTTATTTCAGGATTCTTTGAATAATAGAATGTTCAAACGCATTTATTAACAGTGTTGAGTCAACAAAAGCGCTACAGACACTGTCCAGATGCTGATAGGGCAAGAATTTCGTCTCTGGCTGACCTCTGATAGGAAATAACGCACACTGGGCTGTTTTACGTCAGCACTGCTTCTTCTGTAAATCTCGTCCTCCTCTCATTGTAGTCAGTGATGATAAAAACTCCCACAATGGCAGCTATTCACTGCAGACCTGTCGCTTACAGGCTTCTCTAAAGAAACCAGAGCCAGTCTCTGTGTCCCATCGTCATGGGAACCACGGGGTGGTCGGATGAAAGCTCGTCTGCCCACGAGTCACATGACCTCTCTGAGATTTGAGACTGGAATTTGCCGTTCCTCCGAGACTGTGTTCGGCCACTCTCTGAAACAAGTTTTGATAAATCTGCAGAGTCAAGGGAAATTATTAAGTAATAGCTCATCCAGAATGAAAGTTGTCATTACTTACTCACCTTATATGTTACTCCAGGTCATACAATAGCTGTATTTGAGGAACAGACTGAAATTTAAGTTGTTATTCACTGGAAATGTCTCTCTAAAGCTCTCAAACTGGTGCTCTACATTCATTTACGATGAATGCGGTGTGCACATTTTTATTTAAGAGAATTACATTTAAATGTACATTTTTAATTTTTTGTATGCATGTTATTTTATTATTATTTATTTACGATTAAAGTGTTTATTAACTTTTTTGAATTAGCTTTTATTTTTATATTTTCAGTTTTTATTTTAATTTGAGTTTGTTTGATTAATTTTATGTCATTTTATTCGTTTTTATATATTTCTATTTCTATTTCCATATTTCTCTATAGCTTTCTTTTCTTTTTATTTCAGCTTTAGTCATTTCAGTGTAATTTCAATATTTCATATATGGCAATAGTTGTCAAGGCAACATTTCAAATTTTATTTAAGATTTTTATTTATTCGTTTCAGGCTTTTATTTTTATATTTTCATTTTAGTTTAAGTTTTATTAATTTTATGTGCTTTTGTCATATTATTCATTTTTTTAATTTCTATATGGCTTTCATTTATTTTATTTTTAGATTTTCAGTTATATTTTATCTGTTTTATTTTATCAGTTTTAGTAATTTCAGTATTTCAGCTTAAATTATTTATTTCAGTTAGTTGGCAAGGAAACATTTCAAAATTTTCATTTAAGTTTTTTTACGTTTTAGTCTTTCATCTAATATTAATATTTTATTTTATTTCTGATTTATTTCAATTTCCAAAAACATAATAGAATAAGGAACACATGAATGAATGAATGAATGATGCATTTATACATATGTATTGCTGTACACCCAAAGCGCTTTACAATCATGTTAATACAATCATTATTAACTAAGAATTTTCCCTGAACAAACTCCTAATTTGCTGCTTATTAATAGATATTGTTAAGTTTAGGTGTGGTGTAGGATTAAGGGATCTAAAATATGGTCATCCAGAAAAAGCCATTAATATGTGCTTTATAAGTACTAATAAATGCTAGTAATACCCATGCTAATGAACAACTAGTTAATAGTGAGAATTGGTCCTTAAAATAAAGTGTTACCGTTTTAGTTAACAATAATAACAATGCAATACATTGTATGAATGAACTGCTATTGTTTCTGTATTTACAAACGAAAAATGTTTTGTCATTATTCCTTTAGTCAAATGCACTTGGAGCTAAATGTAACTTTAACTCTAAATGTTGATTTCAGGCATGACGTGAAGCCCAGGTAATGAGGAAAGACAACAGAGAGAGGAAGGACACGCAAGATGATCGAAACAATGGGTAAGTCCATTTAATTTTGCATTTCTGTGGAACTATGACCTCTGATGTCTGATTGGACTGTAGAGGATTGTGGGTAATGGGTTGCAAACCTGAGGGTATTTCTGTCTCTCTGTTGAATGAGACGACGAGACATAATGAACTGAAACGTCTCGGTTACGTATCCTCTGCCATCCTCTGCTTAGAGACGGCATTCCCCTTCTGCCGGCCTCCGTGACAGACAAAGAGCTGGTCTGAGGTCCTGAAGCTTTGCGTCTGAAACCTGTCAAGAACATTTCAGAGTTATATTCCACCCTAAAATCAAAAGACAAAATTGTGTTTGTGAAGCTGCATATCATTTATGCAAAATGTAATTTAAATAATAATTATTAAATAATTATAATAATTTGATTTTAGAGTGAAATTTGACCTGGACACGTTCTTGACATGTTTTGTAAGATAAACCCATGTAGTCTTTTGTTTGTTTGTTTTGTAAACTTTATATATATATGTATATATATATATATATATATATAAAATTGGCTTGTAACAATTATGCATTTTACATTTTTGCATTTAGCAGATGCTTTGTCCAAAGCGGCTTGTTCTGCCAGAGAGGAGCAGAGAGAGTGAAAGTTTTGGAAAGTTCAGCCATTATTTAACCATGCGAATCAAAACAAACAAAATATAATAATGAGAAATTATTAAAAATAATAATAATTCAATTGGACTGAAATATGACCTGGGAAAGTTCTTGAATTGTTTTGCAAGATCAATCCATGTGATCCTTTATAAGATGGTAATTTTGAATTTTATGTAGAATATTTTGTAAAAAAGTAGTCATTACGTGTGCTGCTGGCGATGTTAAATATATAACCAATTAATAAATGTTTTAGTTGTAATTGTAATTCATTACTATACTCCAGACCAAACCTCCAGGGCTGCGTTCCTCAAAAGCATCGTAAGCTAAGTTGATCGTAGAGAAAATTGATGGAAACAGGTCTATGATCTACTCAGGCTAGACAACGCAGCCCAGATCATTACATCTTGGAGATTTGACTACCAATCAAAAGTTTAGTATTAGTATGATTTTATTAATTAAAATAAATTAGACTTGTTACAAAAGACTGTTCTTTTGAACTTTCTATTCATCAAAGAATCCTGAAAACATGTATCACAGTTTCCACAAAAATATTCATCAGCACAACTGTTTTCAACATTGATAATAATCAGAAATGTTTCTCGAGCAGCAAATCAGCATATTAGAATGATTTCTGAAGATCATGTGACACTGAAGACTGGAGTAATGATGCTGAAAATACAGCTTTGATCACAGAAATAAATTACATTTCAAAATATATTTTAATAGAAACCTGCTTTTTGAAAATGTAATAATATTTCTTAATATTACTGTTTTTTTTTTAATCAAAATCTCCCCAGCCCCAAACTTTTGTGCATACATAAAGTTACCTGATCTTCATAACTTTCCATGGCAGTACCAAAAATATACAGCAGAAAGGAAAACAAAAAAAGTTGAAAGAAAGAGAGAGAGTTTGGCTCTGTGTGAGAGTATGCTTGCACTTGCTGATTGTTGTGGGACTGTTTACTGAAGAGGTTCACATACTCCACACACTCCGCACACACTGGTTTAGTCGCACTCTGTGAGAATGGAAATGAGCTAGACTGCTGCACACAAACCTGGAGGCTCGAGCGGCTCTCTAATGCCCAGTGCCTGGGTCCATAACGCAGGATTCTGGGGCTTATCCAGGCGTTCACCAGGCATGGCTGCACAAACCAGTCACACACAACAGCTCAATCCCCCTAACATACACACTGCATACCTGCTGGTGGTTCAAGAGAAATATGCTTTTCATACAACATGTATGCATTTAGCAGATGCTTTTGTCCGAAGCAGCTCATTCCACCAGAGAGGAACAGAGAGAGTGAAGGTTCTGGAAAGCGTTCACTGACTGTAGCTGGCAATAGGGAGCTGTTTATTTTCATTCACTCAACCTTATTTGAGCAGGAAAATAAAAACTCTGGAGATTTCAAATCTCTTTTATAAGAGTGTCCTGGCCAAGGATAGGCAGCAGCACTGCTATATACACAAAATAAGACACCAATACATGGAGAGAGAGAAAAAAAAACAACTTTCAGCATTTCTAATTGTACTTTGAGCTTTGACTCGGAAATTAGCAAATGCTGTAATGCAGACCTTGGCTGCGTTTCCACAGCATAAGGAGATTGTAGAAACCTTTGACATGAAGTATGTGTGTGTGTGTGTGTGTGTCTGTGTGTGTCTGTGTGTGTGTCTGTGTGTGTGTGTGTGTGTGTGTGTGTGTGTGTCTGTCTGTGTGTGTGTGTGTGTGATACCCAGATACCCAGCATTGTCTGCAGGCGGTGGAGAGGTTACAGTCTCGCTTGAAAGAAAAGGGAGCAGATGTTCCTGCTGAGGAGAAGCTGAATCTTCTGAAGGCGGTCCTGCAGAGTCCTCTGTTTCACCAGATCCTCGCCCTGCAGAAATCAGTGCAGCATCTGAAGGAGCATGTAAGAACAAAACACACAACACTGGGAAAAAAATATTTCTCTAACTACAAAACATTTCAAACAGAGAGAATTTACATAAGTAAATGAATAGTTCGACCCAAAATGAAATCCTGACATTATTTATTTAACCTCATGTCGTTACAAACCCATCACACTTTAAGTAGAAATTTCAAAGATTATTCATATGGCTCTTTTCCAAGGACAGGTGAAAAAAAATCACACCAAAAAAGCTTTTAAAAGAGCATTTAGTTTGAGAACTGCTCATGGTTACACTTTATTTTAAGGTGTCCTTGTTACAGTGTAATTATACATTTAAGTACAGAGTAATATTAATTAACTACATGTACTTTCTATATGGTTAGGGTTAGGATTAGGGTTAACTTGCATGTAATTATGCATAATTAATTGTTATTATAATAGTAAGTACATGTAACATGTGTAACAAGGACACCTTAAAATAAAGTGTTACCCTGCCCATTCATAGAATGGATCATTGTGTAAATGAATCATTTTTTACGTATTCTTTTCAAGTTTATTCCTGTTTATATTTGGACCAACTAATTTGTTCACAAATCAGATGGATTTGTTCATGAATTGGAGTTCAACACACTTGCATTTAACATGGTGACAACATGCAACACACATGAGGTCATGTGACATAAATGTAGAATATTACTGTTTGAAATGTGTATTATATACACTGCCGTACAAGAGTTTGGGGTCATTGCTTTTTTTTTTAAGAAATTGTATTTTTATTCAGCAAAGATTTATAGAATTGATCAGAAGTGACAGTAAAGACTTTTATTTCAAAACAATGCTGTACTTTTGAAGATTTTGTATGTTTTCGACATTGATGATAGTAACTATCATTATTAATATTTGAGCACCAATAATAATTGATAATACTTAGCAACAAATCAGCATATTTGAATGATTTCTGAAGGATCATGTGACACTGAAGACTGGAGTAATGATGCTGAAAATACAGCTTTGCATCAAATAAATAAATCACATTTTACAATGTATTCACATAGAAAGCAGTTATTTGAAATTATAATAATATTTCACAATTTTAATGTATTTTTTATTAAATAAATGCAGCCTTGGTGAACAGAAGATACTTTCAAAAACATAAAAAAATCTTACCGACCCCATAATTTTGAACAGCACTGAACATGCTTGGAAATGTAAACTTATATATCTATATCTATATTTTTTATATCTATCAGATTTGTGTCTCAGTTATTTATGCAATGACATGTTTTGACAGTCTGCTTTTAATCTTTGCTCCCTTGATCTGATTGAGATTACATGATTATTAAAATCCCAAACAATTCAAATGCTGTGAAATATTCATAAGTAAGACACAGCCTTATTAATTAGGGAGAAGCTTCACTCATTGGGCAGATTTGGGGTTTTGGAGCTCTGTGTGTTCATGGAGAGTTTGGCACCGGCAGCCGTTCGGTCTGAAGTATGCGAGTTATGCTGGAACAGAGGAATGGAGATTATCAAATCCCCAGCGGCGTCCCCTCTCGCTCTCTTCACTCACATACTTATGAACCGCAGAGCGGAACGCTGTTAACAGCCTGTGTGGAAGAAGGAAACCATCTAATGTCAGTCTGAAAGTTATGGACTCGTATAGAACAGAGCTGGGAAAAAGAAGTGAGCTTAATTGTATTGAATGTGCACTTGTAGTCTACTTCAAATCTGAAGAGTATATTTTTATAAAACTTGCAGATAATATAGTATTAATGAAATAAAAGGCCACTTAAGTGACTTAAAGAGAGACACTTTCATGACTGTTTCTGAACACACTTAAGTACACTTTTAAAAAGTGAAATTTGAAATAATGTCAAAGTTTTAAAAAGCACATGTTAAGGACTTGATTATCATTTTATCTTTAGTGTGTTGTTTGATATTACATTTAAAGTTAATATATTTTATATGCACTAAATTGCAACTTCATCATTACAAATGTGTAATTACAAATATATATTAAATGCATGACAGACGAGTTTCAATAGAAGTGACATTAAAGTATATTGTAGTTGATCATAAATGCTAGTCAGTACATTCAGCAGTACTTTAACCATAATTTAAAGACAATAGAAGTAATTATGGAATTACATATAGACCCGGTTTCACAGACGGGGATTAGAGTAAACCAGGATTAGATCAAAGTTCAATTAGGACATTTAAGCATTTATTTTATGAACGTGCTTAGAAAAAAAACATTACTGGTGTGCATCTTGAGACAAAACAAAGGCACTGGTATATTTTAAGATCAGTCAGTGCAAGTTTCTTTCAGTTGAAACAGCTCAGACTTACATTTTAGTCTAGGACTAGGCTTAAGCCTTGTCTGTCAAACCGGGGGATAAGGATGTACTTAAGTCCTACTTAAGTGGGTCAAAAAACACTCATTTAACAAATTTAATTTAATTGAAAAATAACATGCAATTAAGTGTCTGAAAACAATACGTTCAGTTCACACTTAAGTATACATACCTATTTCCATAATAAGTGCTATTTTTAACAGTATTCTAAAGTGTGCTTATTTTTCACAAGGGGAGACACACACAAGTAGATTTTTACATGCATTTGCTATAGGAAGTTTGATACTTAGGCAAAAGTAAACATCATGATTGCTTTAGCAAACACCTTTTAATAACCTGCGAAGATTTTCTTTCGGTCTGTTGATGTTTCTCCACACTAACCTGCGGGGTTGTTTTTGCCAACTGGTGCGTCTGGCTTTGTCTGTGTTACTATAGTTACCAGAACGCAGAGAGAGAGAGACATGAGTTCATGTGTGAAGTGGAGCAGAAGTAATTTCTGAAATGTGGACGAGCCAAACTGGAGGCCTAATCCTCTTACACGGGAAGACTAACAAATACAGGCTCTCGCAGAGCTGACATAGTTTCGAGCGTGTTCAAAGCTTGTGCACGATCAGCAACTGAGCCGAGATTCTGCGGCGTGTAATCTGAAGGGCCTCTGGGAGACGTTTATGAACATTAATGTTTGCTGCAGCAGACTGAAGTGCACAGAAGAGCTGTATAAAACGTGTGGAACTTGACATAGTTTGTTAAAGAGAGTTCGCCCAAAAATGAAAATCCTGTCATCATTTACTCTGTTTGTTCATTCATTCTGTTGAATGCAAAAGAAGATATTTTGAAAAATGTTGGGAACCAAACAGGTGACGGTAGCCATTGACTTCCATAGTATGGAAAAAAAAAATACAATGGAAGTGAATAGCTACCGTCAACTTATTTTTTCACAAAATGGGTGAATAAATAATAAATGACAGAATTCTCATTTTTGAGTGAATCAGCATCGTGAGATGTTCATGTGGAAAAGACTCACAAACATTGATATAACAGCAAGGACGGAGCTGTAAATCACCAGAGTGCCGATCTGTGAAAGTGAGCTGGAAAGATAATGGTTTAATAAGCAATTAAATTCAAGCAAACAGCAAATGTTTTAAGGAAATGACTTAACACATTGTGATGTGAAGTGCTTGTTATTTTTCTCACAGAGAGATGCTTTTTTGGGGCACGTTTTGTCGCGGTAATTGATGTGAAATGGTTTGTACTTCATCAGGAGTGTGCGCTCGAGTCGGGGAGGGAAATAAAAAGTTAATTAAGCAGCTCCTGGATGTAATGAAAAACATGTGTGCACAGATGGCTGGGAGGACAAATTATCACCAGAAATTATCAAAACAAATTAGTTTTCCACGCTCTTTCAGGACTATTTGGAACACACAAGGCGAGGAGTAATTTGGGCTGTTTTTCTGTCACTCTTTCTCTCAGACTCCATATATTAACTCTGATCTGAAGGGCAGCACTGAAGGATTCTCAGCTCAGCTCAATGGACAAACTTCATCTGAAGAGTACAAACACATCATCCGCTCCATGGCTCAGGTGACACACAACATCTATCTATCTATCTATCTATCTATCTTTCTATCTATTTATCTATCTATCTATCCATTCATCATTCTATGTATTGTTTTACTGTTCCATCCATCTATCATTCTTTCTATCACTCTATCATTCCATACATACATCCATCCATCCATCATCATTCAATTATTCAGTTGTTCCATCCATCCATCCATCGTTCTATCTATTATACTATCATCTATCATCTATCTATCCATCATTCTATGTATTGTTTTACTGTTCCATCCATCTATCATTCTTTATATCACTCTATCATTCCATCCATCCATCCATCCATCGTTCTATCTATTATACTATCATCTATCATCTATCTATCCATCATTCTATGTATTGTTTTACTGTTCCATCCATCTATCATTCTTTATATCACTCTATCATTCCATCCATCCATCCATTGTTTTATTATACTATCATCTATTGATTCATCCATTATCACTCTATCATTCCATCTATCTATCTATCTATTGTTTTATTGTTCCATCCATATATCATTGTGCTCAATGGACAAACTTCATCTGAAGAGTACAAACACATCATCCGCTCCATGGCTCAGGTGACACACAACATCTATCTATCTATCTATCTATCTATCTTTCTATCTATTTATCTATCTATCTATCCATTCATCATTCTATGTATTGTTTTACTGTTCCATCCATCTATCATTCTTTCTATCACTCTATCATTCCATACATCCATCCATCCATCCATCATCATTCAATTATTCAGTTGTTCCATCCATCCATCCATCGTTCTATCTATTATACTATCATCTATCATCTATCTATCCATCATTCTATGTATTGTTTTACTGTTCCATCCATCTATCATTCTTTATATCACTCTATCATTCCATCCATCCATCCATCCATCGTTCTATCTATTATACTATCATCTATTGATTCATCATTACTCTATCATTCCATCTATCCATCTATCCATCTATCTATCTATCTATCTGAGAGCTGAAAATAAATGTTGCATTATATCAAACTTAAACTTATATTTTATTTTTGAAAATCAGATTCAGTTATATCCTCTACATTTCGATGCAAGAATAAAATGAATGTTAAAAAGATAAAATAAAAATGAAGGAATTCTTCAGTGGCATTTTTTTCCTAGTTTTCCCCTCTTCTATGATGTTGCATGGTGGGCCAAATCATAGGGCATCAGGGGCCAACTTTGTCCCCCCAGCCCTCGTTTGGCCATCTCAGATCTATCTAGATCATTTAAATCTTTGTTTTTTACTATTTACCCCCTAAACTCTCATATGGTAGTTAAATAGTCAATAAGATATCACACATTTAGTCATTTACTTTCTGAGAGCAAATTCAAACAGCTGTGTGATTGTGACTGTATGTGTTGTTGTTGCTGTTCTGTCTGTGTGTGTGTGTGTGTGTGTGTGTGTGTGTGTGTGTGTGTGTGTGTAGGGTCGGTACGTGACTCAAATCGACCTGCTGAAGCCGGTATCGGGTGGTTTGGGCTTCAGTGTTGTTGGCTTGTGTAGTGAGAACCGTGGAGAACTTGGCATCTTCATTCAGGAGATTCAGGCTGGAAGTGTGGCATACAGGTCAGAACAGACACACACACACACACACACACACACACACACACACCTGTCAGATGAGCAGTGATTTGTACACACAGCTCTTCTAGTTTGTTCCCATTTTAAAAATAAAGATTACTCATATTTTAAAGATCTGCTGCAATTCTAATCTTAATCACAAATGTGTCACCAGTTCATGTCACGTCAGCATTTTCAGCTCAAAGTCACTGCTCAAGCTAGTTTGCTGACATGTTAGTGCTTTTTAGCAGTTTGGTGCCTCTTTGTGAGAGCAAATTTCTGCCTGCTTATTATGTGGCCCACAGAAATATAGATATATATCTCACATTGTACTACAATAACAGTGTTGCATAACTGTGCTTAGTTCAACCATTAGGTCATCATTCACATAGTAATTTATGTATTTCCTTGTGAAAAATAATTACACTTTAGCAGACATTTAAAAAGAGAACTTATTAGAAAAATAATATACTTTAAAAGAATATACTTAAGTGTGAACCGAATGTGATGTTTTCAGACGCTTAATTGCAATCAAATGAAAATGGTGCTTTACATGTGCTTTAGTATGTTAGTCAGCACATCAAAATAAGTATACTTAACAGAAAGACGAAAGATTATTAAAACAATGATTTGACATTTCTACTAAGTTCACCTTTTAAAAGTGTGCTTAAGTGTGTTAAACTGTCATGAAAGTGTCTCTCTTTAAGTCACTTAAGTGGCCTTTCATTTCATTAATATTATATTATCTGCAAGGACAGTTTTTTACAAATATACTTTTAAGATTTGAAGTACACTACAAGTGTACGTTCACTACAATTAAGCACACTTCTCTCTCACAATGAATTCGTTGACTTCAAGATAGCAGTCTAAAGGAACTGTTCACCTAAAGATTCATGTCATCATCCCTAAGTCATTCTAAACTCAATTGAAGCTTGAAACTCGTCACGTTCTTTGCTCTGTAGTAATTGTGAGTTGATCTCAGTACAGTTTTGGTTGTTAAACATAAGTTTCTCTTTTCTAGCGATGGAAAACTAAAGGAGGGAGATCAGATACTGGCGATTAACGGTCAGCTGTTGGATCAGAGCGTCAGTCACCAGCAGGCCATCGTTCTCCTGCAGCAAGCGTCGGACCGCGTGAGCCTCACTGTCGCCCGTGGGCCTGTCCCGCAGCTCTCCAGCCCGGTGGTGTCCAGGACTCCCAGTGCTGCTAGCACACTTTCAGCACACTCCAGTGCGGTGAGACACAACACACACACACACACACACACACACACCTGGTTCGACTTCAGTCTGTGCGGGAGTCTCTGCTCCTCGATCATCCCACTCATTATTACCATGCTGGTTATTCCAGGTGCGGGAGCCGAAACGCGAATGAAGGAAACCTGCGGTTTTCAAAATAAAAGTCTCCTACAACAATAAGCGACAAATACACAGCTGTTCGAAAGTTTGGGTATCATTGGGTTGGACCAGTTTTTTTATGTCTTTGAAAAGAGTCTCTTCTGCTCACCAAGGCTGCATTTATTTGATTAAAATTACAGTAAAAACAGTAAAATTGTGAAATATTATTAAAATTTTAAATAGCTGTTTTCCATGTGAATATCTGTTCAAATGTAATTTATTTCTGTGATCAAAGCTGAATTTTCAGCATCATTACTCCAGTCTTCAGTGTCATTCTAATCATTCTAATATACTGATTTGCCGCTCAAGAAACATTTCTGATTATTATCAATGTTGAAAATAGTTGTGCTGCCCAATATTTTTGTGGAAACTTATTATACACTACTGTTCAGCAGTTCTGAGTAAAAAATTGAAAATAAAGAAATAGTTTTATTCATCAAGGATGCATAAAATTGGTCAAAAGTGACAGTAAAACATTTATAATTTCTGTTTACAATAAATGCTGTTCTTTTAAACTTTTTATTCATCAAAGAATCCTGAATACAAACAAAATGTTTCCACAAAAATATTATGCAGCACGACTGTTTTCAACAGTTTTCATCATAATTCATAATGGGAAATGTTATGAAAAAAATAATTCTATTCATGGAAAATAAGGGAACTATTCTATTACATTTTTTTGGAAGGTTATGCCACTTGAATGACAAATATTTAGTTGAAAGTGGTATAAAAGTTCTGTTTCATGTCTCCTAAGCACCAAGGGATGGCTAAGCCTGTGAATATTCCTGCTGCGCTCAGTGGGGAGCGAGACATAATAGAGATGTGACACAGCCCCTTTATAATGGATTCGGCCCCCTGCTGTTTTCCTTTTGGGATGGGAGTTCTTGCAGTTTGTTTGAACTTCAAAGTTATTTTCCTAACATCTGTGAACTGGATAAAGCACTCAAAGTTGTTAAAGGGGTCATATGATGCTTTTTTAAAGATCATTATTTTGTGTACAATAATCGTCGGTATTAAAAAATTGTCTGCATCGTGTTGAGATTTGTGGTGCCTCACCCGGCTCTCGCTGAAACAAATGTGAAGACCCCAAGCTCACTTACATACTATTGAATCACCACGGAGTAACTGGAGTTTAAAAGGTGTTTACCAACCGGAGCCAACTTTTCTGGAAAGTTTGCAATGTCAAGCTGTTTCGAACTCCAAAACAGCTTTGTTTTGGCCTGATTTTGTCATCACACAAGTTTGTTTTCCTGACATCTTTGTGCTATATTCACTAGTGATTAGGGCTGCACGATTATGACAAAAATCATAATTGTCGATTATTCCCTTGAAATTGTAATTGCGATTATTAATTACGATTATCACAATTTACATTGAATGATGTTTATACCATTGTTTGATGCAACTGCATGCCGTATTTTTATATGAAAATAAACAAGCTGAAAACACTCTAACTGAAAAACCTTTAGTGCTTTTCTATAGTATTAACCCTCAAATGTCAAATATACATCGGATTGGTTTCATAAAAATATGAATGGTATTATAATGTTATATTAAAACTAAAACTAAAACAATGGAAAACCCCTTAAGATAACATGTAGAAAGAAAAAAACATATCTTAAGCGTGCAAAATAACATAAGTGGACTTTGAGCGATTAATTGCCGCTTTGAACGATTACGTAATTGTGGCATCCATAATTGTAAACGCGATTAGAAATTTGATTAATTGTGCAGCCCTACTAGTGATGCACCTAAATGAAAATTGTGGGGAATAACCGGAAAAATCAAGATGCACTTGGCTGATAACCGAAACGGAAAATAAAAAAAGTGATGTATCATGCCACATTAAAGAGCGTCAAAACCACATTTATTTATTTTTGTATTATGGGATAAAATTGACAGGCTTTGAAAGCTGAGACTTAAAGTAACAAGGCACAAAGCCTATTGTAATTATTATTGCATGGCAGGTGCTGTAAATAATGTTTAGTTAAAGTTCATGGATCAACAGAAAACAGCACAAACTAAAAGATCGATCTTGAGATTTAAGAGTCAATATCAGTATTGATTAAAAATTAGAAATTGATATGGTTAATCCAGCACTGTTTACCCATTTTAGTTTATCCATATTTTGTGCATGAAATAGACACCGACAGTCAAAACACGCTATCAGAGAAACACTCATTTGGTCAATGATTTCAGCCCTTCAAAACGAGTTTTGGAGCTTCTGCACTTTGGGAAATGAATACTGAGACAGTGCACAGTTTTGCAATTCAGACTACACTGAATAGCACCATCAACTAGCGTGGAAAAAGGGAGGTGATCTCTAGTGCCTGTGTGATACGTGATAGTCTTCATTCGTGTCCGCTGGTGTGTCATTCCATCAGGAGCGTAACTGTGTCGTGAGCCACTCCTAAAGGAGGCTCTTTCACAGAAGTCTTTGCAGCAGCAATGTGGTCGTCTGCCTTCATGTGGGTGAGTTGCCTTCCTGACACTATTGATATTGGTCATCCACTGGCTTAGACAGTCAGGAACCATGAATTATGACTTGAGTGATGAATACAACAGTCAAAGGACTGGCATGTTATGGTCACTTGAACAACATGCATTATTGGTGAAATGTTTTCCAAAGAGGGAGAGCAGGGGTTGTACATAGTCACATCTCTTTTGTAAGTCTTGTATTTTGATCCCCGTTACCCAGCTAACAAGGAACATTCTCAGAACATCCTCTTTCAAAGTTACAAACAAGTGTTCCTAATAGAACGTTCAAAAGTAACGTTCTTATAATGTTTGCAAAATTATAAATCAGAATGTTACCCAAAGCGTTTTAAAAACAACTGCATGTTTTGAATGTTCCGAGAACTTGCCACGCTCATTTAAACTATTTAACTACTTTTTATCATCATGATGGCCAACCTTATTTGTAATTGACCCCCTTTTTTGTGTGCTTGTGCCATTTTAGACCCACTGGACTCACGTGGAGATGATCGAGCTGGTGAACGATGGAACCGGTTTGGGCTTCGGGATTGTTGGCGGTAAAACCACCGGCGTTATTGTCAAAACCATCCTACCTGGAGGCATCGCTGACCAGGTAAGTGCACTTTTGACCTTTTTATGCACTATAATTACCAGTGGTGTTTCTGTCTGTCTGTATGCCCCTCTCTCTGACCTGTTGTCCTGTCCTCGACGTTTTTGCGTTCTTTTCGAGCAATTAAAGAAAGACAAGTAAAAAAAGTAGGGCTGTCAATTTAATTAGGTGCGATTCATTTTAGAAAAAAAAAAACACGTTAAATAAAGTGCATTTAACGCCCCCGCCCTGCCTAGACCTGTGCATCATCTTACATTGCATGAAGTTGCTGATGAATGATGCAGAACGGCTGACTGTGTGATTTAGCCTATGAATGCAGTTAAATGCCCCTAAAATTCAAGATATGAGGGTAAAAAAATGCCCCTGTATTAGTATTTGTCTTATATTTATATCATATGATATAGTTTAGCAATATCACACAAGCAAGAGAGCTGTTTTTCCCGAAATATCTGCACCATTGCAAATGTGATATTGATTTTTGAACGAATCGAGTGAGCGAATGATTCAGTGACTCATTCATAAAGGCTGTGAAAATGCTGCCTTTGGAGGACACATTTCAAGGTAGGAAGGCATCAAGGCACGTTCGAATCCAAAGTTAGTTTCACTTCCTGCCTCCTGAGATACCTTCATATGGTCGATTTTTGAAGGCAGCATAGATGTATCCTTCGCTGCCTTTGATATCCCATGATCCTGTGCATTCCATTCCGTGATGGTTGAGCTTAATATGATGGTTTGCCTGCAAATCATTGCCTGATAAGGCAGCGAAGTCAGCTGCCGAGGGTTTCTGATGCAGCCAGTCACTTGCCTCGTTTTTGAATGAATCAGCCATTTGAATGAACTGGTTGAATGACTCATTCATTAAGAAATACTGAGAAATACTTCCACCTATTGGCGGTTGTAGGTTCATATTTAGAGTATCATTTCATTTTTTTAAATTAATTTCATATTTCAATATTCAATTAAAAAAAACATTAATACCCATTTGCTATCATTATTTATGCAATGGTGAACCAAAATGTTTCTTTCTAAAGCTACTTTTTGTAATGTCTATTCAATGATTTGACACAATAATGACCTTAAATTTCGTGGGATAATTCCTCAGCCAAAACTGATGTGCGATTAATTTGATTAATTAATCAGCACATCGCATATTTAATTTTTTAGATTAAAAAATTTGATTCGCTTGACAGCCCAAAGTCAACAATGATTGTCTAATAACTCTGTGAGGGTCCAGTGAATTCAACCCAAGAATGAAAACGTTGGTGGTTGTCATAAAATCTGTTTATGAAATATACAGAAGTTCACCGTCTCTCTCACTGGTTCTAGGACGGTCGCTTGCGCGGTGGGGATCACGTCCTGCGGATCGGTGATACGGATCTGTTTGGTCTGAGCAGTGAGCAGGTTGCTCAAGTGTTGAAACAATGCGGGAACAGAGTCCGACTCCTCATCAGCCGCAGGACAGCGGATGATGCTCCTCCCACTCCTGTCACCCTGCCAACCGTCACTGAGCAACAGGTACAGCTGCATGTGCTATAGAGCTATGTACATTTTCGGTATACATTTTGCTGTTTTGAGATTGACTGCATTGACTGATAACCGTGCGGTCTTAAAGGAACAGTTCATCCAAAAATGAAAATGTCCTGAATCTTAACTCACCCTCAGGTCATCCGAGATGTAGATGAGTTTGTTTCTTCATCAGATTTGGAGAAATGTAACATTGCATCACTTACTCAGCAATGGATGCTCTGCAGTGAATGGGTGCCGTCAGAATGAGAGTCCAAACAGCTGATAAAAACATCACAATAATCCACAAGTAATCCACACCACTCCAGTCCATCAATTAATGTCTTGAGAAGACAAAAGTTGCATGTTTGTAAGAAACAAATCCATCGTTAACACACGTTTTTAACTTTAAACTGTCACTTCTGGCTAAAATATGAGTCCATAATTCATAACAATGCTTTCTTCAGTGAAAAAGTCCATCTCCTGTTGTCTCTCACATCAAAATCCAGCCACATATGTGTTTAGAGCTGTTTTGGCTTGTAAACGGTGCGTGATCTGTGCACATTTATCTCCTGATTCAGACCAGACCACTTTTACAGCATTTTCAGCAAATTTTCATTTTTGGGAGAACTATTCCTTTAACAAAAGTGGTAGTCAATTCCAAAACCTACCAAAAATTAGCTCAATATTTACATTTTCTATGATATATATATATATGTGCAATATCACACGAGTAGCAGTGCGATATGGCTGTATATCGGCACGGCTGTCATTCGGCCGTTGGTAATCACAGTGTACCGATATACAGCCATATCGCACGGCTACGAGAGTGATATTGCGTTTATACAACAGTTTGACGGCACAAGTGTGTAAATACATAAGAAACAACAACGGAGTGTCTTCAAAAACCATCTTTTCTTTTGTCAATGTCAACTTTATTTATATAGCACCATTAAAAACATCAATTGTTGACCAAGGTGCTGAACAATGTGTCCAAAAACAGTCAATAATAAAACCAAATACTACCTAACAGATTACACACACTTAATATCAATAACTACACAAATTAGCTTAAAGCCAAAGAAAATAGATATGTTTTGGGTTTCACCTTAAAATAATGTAGCGTAGTAGCAGTTCTGAAGAAAACAGGTAGGCTGAGCAAATTTTCAAATAGACGTTATCTTTATTAACAAACCGCATACTTGAAGTCTAAACAAGTACATTCTCGCCTAAAAACACAAAAACAGTATTACTTATAAAATTATAGTGGAGTTGGGCATCCATCATGACACTCGCTGTGAGAAATACCGCAAGAGGAGTGATACAAACTTTGAAACGGTTGGA